CAAAGGAAGATGATTTATAATAATGAGTTAATAGAAACTGGCCGATCATTTACACCTCTACCATCAGTTAGATATTTCGCTGATTGTTAGAAAATTTTAAGCCAAAGAAAAAGAGGAGTTGATATACTTTTCGATATATAACAATAATTTTTTGAAGAAAAACTTATAAGCTAATAAGTATTATTATTATGGAAAAATCATATGGAACCTTTGCAATAGAAAAGGAAGAAACTGCTGAAAAAAAATAAAAAATGAGTTAATGCTAAATTTGAACATATTTCAGCCTGAAAATCATATTTGTTATATAAAACTAAAATTGATTTTCCCCCCTATATTACAAAGGCCCAATAGATCTCTTTCCTAAATGGTATACTCTCTTTTGATTGGCTATAATCTTTCTTCAGATTTTCTGTTATTCTGTATAAAAGAGATTCTATTGATTGTAAATTTTATTTATATAAAATGTGTTACTTTTTTTAAAGATATACTGATATTATAAAAAATGTATAAAATGCCATTTTTTTTTAGTTATAATTATTATTATAAAATCAAGTTATAATAATTATTTTAAGAGATTTTTTTACATGATCCAATTAAAAAACAAATCAAAGAAAAAAAAAAGAAAACGGCACAAATTTTTTTTTTCATCGTAATTTAAATTTTATTTGATTTATAATTTAATAATAACGAAAATATATATATATATATATATATATAAAAAAAAGCCTTTAAAATGACCAAATTAAATGTGAAAGAACTGATTTTTTTTTTCTTTTCTTTTGTTAGTCGTCGTCGAATTATTGTTTTCTTTTACGATATGATATCATATTGCTGATGTGATGATGTTTTGATGTTTTAATATTTAACAACAAAAAAAATCAAATCCAATCGTCATTAATGTTAAAACAAAAAAAGAAAAAGGAAATTCTTTTTTAGGAAAAAAAAAAAGATGTAATAAAAATAATTAAATAAATAAAAACAAAATTTAATGAATGAGACAAAATAAAATAAAATGTTTGTTTGTTTTACATCTCGAATCATTTGTTATCTTCTTGAACAGTTTCCGTGGGTTTTTTCTCCAAAGCTTTCTGTAAATAAAATAAAATAAAAAATCAATAAAAACTTCATAAAATGAACGAGAGAATCATTTCATTTTCATTTTTAACTTACTTGTTGTTTTTGTCTCATAATTTCAGCATCACTGATAATAAGATTTCGAATAGGAAAGAATGTGTGCATGTTTTTTAAATCCACAAAAATTAATTTCAAAGTCAAGTTAAACAATAAAACAAGAAGCATAATTTTTAAAAAAAAAAAAGAACAAAACTTAGTATCAACTCAAAAAACAATAATTTTTTCTTTTAAATTAAAACATACAAAAATAAATTTTTTTTGATTTAGAAAACTATACTTGAATAGTACTGTTTTATACATAAATTTCCTTTACTAATTACTTAAAGGTAAAAGAAAAATAAAAAGGGATAATAATTACAACGTACCTTTCGGCTCGTTTTTTAAAAGCAGTTCCATCTTCTTTTTTCTTGGTCTGTTTAGTTTGTTTTTTCAAGTTCTTTTCGCGAGCCTTTTCCCTTTGATTTCCACCTATGACAAAAAAAATTATATAAATTCAGTATGAAACAAAAAAAAGAGCAAAAAACAAACAAAAAGAATAATAAATTTTCTGATACTTACGAGCCATTTTGAACAATTCAAAAAGTGAATAGTAGAAAGAATAGAAATTGTAATTTCATTTTCCGCACCGCAGTAACGGCACAAAAGCTTTTCGGGCATTGCTTGTGTAACGGTATATCAGAAAATTCTAGATTGCACACTTGTTTTGTAATCAAGAGGATTAACGAAAAAAAAGGTGATTATTTATTTCCAATACTTGTCTAATTTTTTTTCTGTATCGGGTTCAAAATATTTGTATGTATGAAGCGAAGCAGATCAATACATAGATCTCACCCATTTTAAGTTAAATGATCATGAACGATATTATTATATAATATATTTATATATTTTTATTTTGAAAAATAAAAAAAAAAAAAAATTAATCTTTCGCTTTTAATCTATCAATAATAATAAAAAAATGCATGTTGAAAGAAAAGATCAATTTTTTTTTTGTTTTCTTTTCCATGACTATACAAACTAAACAATATTTTTGTTAACTCGAAAAAAAATTTTCGTCATAACAAAGTTCAAGAAAAAAAAACTAATGATCTCGGAAAAATAATAATAGTAATAATAAATGAAATAGAATGGTTACAAGGAGATGTAAAAATAAAGGATAGGTATACTGAAGAAAAAAATGTCCAGCAAAAGTATAAAAAAAAAAGGATAGAAAGTAATTTTATTAACAACCAGACGAAGTTGTTGACTTCAACTTCGAAAGAAAAGGGAAATGATATACAAAAAAAAAAAAAATGAAAGTGAAAAAAAATTCACGATCATTAATTAATTAACCATACCAAATTAAAAAATGCAGATTTTTGTTATTAAAAAATCGACAGTTGAATTTATCGAGATATCATAACATTAATTTAACCCATGTCAAATAGGATAAATTTCAACTTAAAAATGGATATGGAGCTTTTTTTCTTCTTAAATCAGGACAAAAAAGCAAAATTATTATAGATGTTAGCAAAAATTCTACATGAAGAAATTATGAAGAAAAAATATGATATTCGAGATCGATCACGCGTCGATTTTTACTTCATTTCTTCTCAGTAGATTGAGGTGAAAATTGTTGAACTTTTGATGCTCCATTCCCTCCAGTATTAGACTGATTCCAATAACCTGCAGTAGGGCTTTGCATATAAGGGGAATTTTGAGCGGCAGCATATTGGTTCAAATGTTGTTGTTGACTGTATTGAGAATATTGAGCTGCTGGTGACATGTAAGACTGAGCGGCGAGACCTCCGGCACCCATCGCCATACTGCTTGGGATACCACCATATTGATTTGCATATGGATTTAATCCTATAGCATAGGTTTGTGCAGGTGGTATTTGTCCGTTATTAGATGCTTGATGCTGCTGTATTCAAATAATGATTTTAATCAGGAGATTCTATTTATATATATTAAAAATATTAAAAAGAGAGACGACAGAATTATCCCTTTACCTTCCGATCAGGTTCATAAACATTATCGCTATTTCCATCCGTTGGTGTATTATCACTTCCATAGCTTGGGGTACTTTGTTGTGCACGTGGTTGCTATAAAAATGATCGATACGATCAAAAAAAAAAAAAATTTTTTAAAAAAAAATTAAAAAAAAAACCAAAGATTTCGAAATTTAAACATTGGTATTTACCGCGGTTGTTTCCTGGGTTGTTGGTCCATCAGGTGCATTCAGACAAGCTTGGATTAAATTTTTACCCTCGGGTTTTGTGACAAGCGGTTGAAGTTTCGGGGTCGTAAAAGTATAAACGAGACCAGTTTCGGATACAACAAGAAGAAGAACTTGCGTGCCTGTCAAGGTACTAAGTTCATACGCCTGATAAGAAAGTATTTAACGGTTAACAAGGATAGTTGATTACATTGGCGTGGGAGAACGAATTGATAAACTGGGCAAAGTTTACGAAAATTCATCGAGACAAAATAGGATGTACATATGTCCGATTACGATATTTGTCTAGCCAAGTTTCGCCAAAGGTGGTAACAAACAAAAAAAAAAAAAAAGGGGGTAAAATACCCCACATAACAAAACAAAAAAATTTTCGGAAACCCTTTTTCGTAGTTGCGCATATTAATGACATGATAACATAAAGTAATAATAAAATAATAATAATAGTAATAAAAATATAATACACTTCCTTCCTTGGGAAAAAAAAAATTATATATATATATATATTTTGTGATTACCTTTTTCATTATTCCAGCCTTTCGTTTACTAAAAGTAATATGACGCCTGCTTTTATCATCAATGTATTCGATTTTTATCTTACGACGTCCAGCTCTTTTCTCCGCCTTATTATCGTCGTCAGCAGAATCATCGTCTAAGTCGTCTTCAAGTTCTCGCTTACTTCCTCTTCGTGAAATCTGTTCAGGTAACGTTTCTCCTGAGCCGCTACTAAGTTTTCGTTGACCGTTACTACTGAGATTGCTCATTTCTGTGGCGTGTTTTCAAATGAGGAAGTAAAAAAGTTTTTCCTTTTTATTTGGGTTATCGTTATTAACAGGTAGTTTGGTAGCAGTAGCCTTTTTTCGTAGTTTGTATTGTCTATATGCGTTTTGTGGTGCCTTTTTTTGTGAAATAGGGTTAAAAGAGAAAAGGAAATTTAGCTGAGATTAGCTAAAAGTATTTGCGTGGCGCTAACTTGCATGAAAATGTTTAGTAATCAATGATTGGCCAAATTTTTTGTTCGAATTTCTTGACTAAACTGGTTATCATGCAGGTTAATTTTTTTGTCTCAATTAGTACATACATAATTCTGGTCAAATTTTTTTAATATTGTAGACTAATTTGTAGACATCCGTATTGCGCATTCTAATAAAGGTTTCAAGAAATATGTTATATATGTTATAGTTCAAATATTAGTAAATTATTCTAGTATAATCCTTTGGCCAGAGGAGAAATTTTATTTTTTATTTTTTATTTTTTTTTTTTTATTTTTTTTTTTACTAGACTATTAAGAGAAAATTCATTGAAGTATCAAATTATATTATAGATCTATTTGGGCTTTTTGTATTGAAAGTTAAATCTATCATTGATTTATTGCTTAGCAAAAAATCTAGATATAATTAGCATAGCCACAACCAATCCAATTTCCAATTTTAGAGAACAATTACATTCCTATAAATGAATTAAAGTAAAAAAGATAATTACAAGATAAACTATTCTAAGCTTTTATTAGATGATTGTTTAAATTAATATTTATTAAATAATTGAATGTACACGTATAAAAATTTTACGAAACGATAAAAAAAAAGATTTGGTTACTTTGCTTGAAAATATTAGCTAATTTTCGTTAAAATTCAAAACGCATTTTGATTTTCCTTTATGATTTTCGTTCCATCAACTTCCCTAGTAATTCTTTTTGAATATCAGCTTGCCTTTGAGTTTCGACAAGCGATTTAACCGACCTCAAACCATTTACAATATCTTTAGTCTTGCCAAAATAAACATCTTGAAGAAGATTACGCATTTTAAGTTCAATATCCTCAACCATACGTCCAATGTTTGCTATATGAGAAGAAGGTTCATCATAGGGATAATCGGCTTCGAACTAACCATAAAGAAATTTAAATATAATAATTAGCAGGTCATTTTAAATACCTCATAATTGCAACGAAAATAATAATAAAAAAAGATAATAATAACTCTTTACCTGTCTTGTCATACTCCCAGAAAGATTCATATTTCCGAGTTCGGGTTTGCTTGTTATGGTATACAACATAACGGTAGAAGTTAATTTATAATGTGCACCGCGACCACGTTCATTCGCTTTGAATACATGAATTGAATCCCATGCCCCTTTCATCTTACGGACACCTTCACCAACTAGGAAACAAAAAGATCAGTTAGGATTTATAAAAGTTGATGAATGAAGAATATATATGGTTTTACCTTTCTTGAATAAAACTGCACCAGAAAACCCATCCGGTGGTTCATCCCAAAAATACGCTGAAGAGACACCCCCTTCATAATACCTTTAGGATTAATATCGATAAATATTTAATAAATAATATACATGTATACAATTGATTTCAAAGAGACAAAAAGTACATACATTTCACGATATGTATCAAAAGCATCATTGGCGGATATTTCTAATTTTCGTGTTTTGACTGAAGGTAATATCCCGCCAGATATGGGAGGATCATACTCGTTTGACCAAGGAGAACTAATTAAAAAATGATGATTATCAAACAAGAAGATATAGTTGAGGAAAGCAGTTAATGATCTGAAGAAAAAGAAATGGTCCTCAATGAGAAGCGCGTTAAAAACCCGCAGAAGAACAAAAATTTGTAAATTTGTAATTTACATATTCTTAAGGCAAAAATAAACATAAACATATTATAAGTAAAACCAAGTTTACCGATAAGAATCGCCATACATATTGAAGGGGGACAATAAGTAATCTCGATTTTTTGTTTTACATTTTTTAATCTTGAGTGGCTGGTCAACATTATTTAATAAATCTTCATGATGATCAGGTATAAGAGTTATAATGTTTAAAAGGTTTTCTTCCGTATTTTGTGGAGGGAGACGCCTCATAAGGTCTAAGGCACATTCAATTTGATCTCCCTATCGAAATCATAAAATGAGGAAAAAAAAAAAAAAAAAAAAAAATTTCAAGGAATTTAAAAAGTTTACCATTTTGAGTTCTGATAAGAGTTTTCGAAAATAAGAAGCGAAAGGATTTGAAGGGGAATGATGCCCCGTTTTTGATAAAAATTTGTAAGTTTGGGTATAACTACTTTGATTATAGGGAAAAATTGTATTGGTTGTTGGTGTAATTTCATATGATCGCTGATTTACGAAAGATTGTGCCATCTACTTATATCGTTCAAAAAATGATGAGCGGAAAAACCGGTAATTTATGGATTTTTTTTTTTCGATTAATTTATATTTGGTTTTGACCTTCAAGCATAATGGGCAAAGATCCAAAATATGAAAAATAGGACGACTATTATTCTAAATACAAACATTGATCTAACATGTTTTAAAGTTTTAGTAGCACGCATGACGATCACCAACTTTTATAATGAAAAGAAAATCGATTTGTAATAAATATACTTGTTTATTTTATTGGTTGATTTTTTTTTTTTTGTTTTACCTTGAAACATTCCATACTATAAATCGCTACTTTTAATATTAAATAAGTATAAATATATTTTGAACCATCACTTGTGTTTATTAATTTAAATTATTAATAATTTGGTTGGTAAATTCTGTGTTCGTTGCCTGTCCACCAAGATCACGCGTAAGGTGTTTCCCTTCGGCAATTGTTTTTAAAACGGCATTTTCAATAGATTCAGCGTAAGGATTTAAGTGCATATGACGAAGCATCATAATGGAAGATAATAGGAGCGCTGTGGGGTTCGCTAAATCTATAAAGGTTTTAAGTGGTGAATAATCTTGATCGTTAAATTCCTTTTGATTTCAATAATTTCTTATGTTCACTTGCCTTTGCCAGCGATATCAGGCGCGGTGCCGTGTACAGCTTCAAAAATCGAAGCATCACGGCCTATGTTTCCTGATGGTGTCAATCCAAGTCCTCCGATCAATCCTGCACACATATCCGAAAGAATGTCCCCGTATAAATTAGGCATAACCATGACTGTATCCGAATAACGAGCAGGATCTTGAACAATCTACAAAATTTAAATACAATGAAATTCAAAAACTCAAAAGTTTTAGGTAAAAGTACAGTTTAAATTTTAAATTTATTTACATGAAGGCATGCCCGATCCAATAACACATCATCAAAGTGTATATCGGGGAACTTCTTTGCCACATTGTAACAAGCTTCCAAGAAAAGGCCATCCGATAATTTCCTAAATGAAATGTACAAGACTTTAGCATATGTTGATTTTGATATATTTTTTCATCTTGTATTCTTACATGATATTTGCTTTGTGTATAGCGGTAACTCGATTTCGCCCAATGTCTCTTGAATGGTTAAAGGCATAGTAAGCACATCTCTCAGATGCTTCTTTGGTAATCAATTTGATTGATTGAACAACACCTTCTATAACCTATTATAAAGACCAAACATCTTAAACAATTAGAATAGAATAAATTAATCGATTACTATTTTTTGTATATATATATTCTCTTACAGTATGTTCAATTCCAGAGTATTCCCCTTCCGTATTTTCACGAATCAAGACCGTATTTACATCATCATATGGTGTTTTATATCCAACAACGGATTTACATGGTCGAACGTTGGCAAATAGATTAAACGCACGACGAAGAGTAAGGTTAAGGGAAACATGACCCTTTCCAACGGGAGTGGCCAAAGGACCTAAATATTAAAGATTGGAATTACTTTTAAAACCGCTTTTGATATCAGAAATTAATTTATCCCAATATTTAACTTACCCTTTAAAGCAATGGTATTCTTTCTTACTGACTGTAAAGCATCATCAGGAATTGTTGTTTTTCCTTTTTTTAAAACGGGAGTGACATTTACTGGTTCCCATTCAATTGGAACCTTGATAAATAAATAATCGAATAAGATTTCATCATAAGTAAAATTATAAAATCAAATCATTTGAATATTATGTTAATGATTTAATCAAGGATGAAAAAGTAATTCCTCCAAATTTTTGGTGTAAACCAATATCTCAAAAGTAATACTGAACTTAAAAACTTAATATCTTACTCCAGCTGCTTGATATATTCGTTGAACTGATTCCGAAATTTCCGGACCAATGCCATCACCGGGTATAAGTGTAACGGTATAATTACCCTAAGTTTATTTTTAAAAAAAAAAGTATATGAAAAGAATCAAATTAAGGTCGATGCATTTAACAAACGAAAAGATAAACAAATTTTTTTTTTAAAAAAAAAAAAAACGCGCGACTTTACGTTTGCATTTTTCTTTCCACTATAAGGTTCGGTGATCGGAGACGCCGCTGAAGCAAATGAACGCTATATTTTATATTTCATTAATACACGATTTACTTTAATTATGAATAAAATTTATTTAATGATTTAATTCACATACTTTAGGTATGCTTAAAGACTTGACGAAAGCGATAGACCTTGAACGAAGCATCATAAAAATTTGAGATTTTCAAAAAGCAGATCTCGGATATAAATTGAAATGATAAAAATGATAAGATATCTATCCGTGTTACCATGTAAAAGCAAATGCGGCGATCTTATGAGTGAAAATATATTAGTTTATATTTTAAAATTTTGACATCAATTAATATATTTGGAGTTACAAATATGTAATGATTTAACTGATTTAACTTGAATAACCAAAAGATAAGATCTTAGCAAAAATAATAAAACAAAGATATGATGGAAAACATTAATAAGAAAATAAAATTTTTTTGATTGATTAATGAAGACAATTCTTCATAATTAATACCGGTTAAGTTCAATAGAAAAAAAGTCAAAACAACCCAGAATTAGACCATTGTACGTTTCAATATCCACCACCCGATGACTTTATATAAGGGTATTCGACATCACTACCCTTCTTTACCCAAATTCTTCTCTTCTTTTTAGTTGTAACGTGTTCACAGAAATATTCTTCACAATATTGTTTTTTAAAATCACGAATGAAAGTAGGATCCCTAAAAATAAAAAGGTTTTTTTGTGAATTTTGCAATTAAATCAAATTAAATTCGATAAAGCAAAGCGATTTAAATGGATTCTTTACCAAAGTTCCGATGCGATGCCTAAATCCTTACAACATCTCATTAAAGCATTACTTTTTGCTCCTTCCGCAGCGGTGGCTAATCCAGAAGGATCAAAATATTCTTGTTCACCACGAGCAACCGACACAAGCCTAAAAATTAAAAAATACACTTTAATAAACATTAAAATAGATAAATCAATTTGTAAAGGTATTACACAACATACCGTCCGTGGCAAATAAGTGCAAATTCACGTGAAATTGTCCTTGGACTAACGGAATTATCCCCACGGGGAGCCAACCCCCAGCCTATCAAAAAGAGAGAATTTATATAAATTATGATAACATATTTTAAATAATTCAACACGAAATTTACCTCCAGGTCCGAATGCCTTATTCAATATGCGACGATACTTAATTTCGGGCAGATAAAGCATTCCATCTATAATATCAATAAAACCCAATAAAAATTAAGATCAAGATCATAGGCTTCGTATCAGTCATAATAAATTATATGATTTACCAGGCTTGCACTCAACATCTTCTACTTTGATCGGAGCCAATAAAATATCAGCGGCTTCTTTTGGAAAAGCTTTGGTGGATAAACCAAAAAATGATTTTGACCAGTCCTGTTCAAAATTATTATCACACCGAACCTTGCTTGTTGTTTGTTCTGTTTGATTGTCCAATAAATTAGTAGACGCAAACACAGTTGTAGGAGCAAAGCTTGAAAAGTTATCATTTTTAGATTTTGTTAAGAATGAAGAAGAATCATTGCTTTTAGATTTTGTTAAGTATGACGCGTTTTCACTTTCACCATCCAAAGTCGGCTTATCAGCGGACCCGTGTGAAGGCAAGGAGTTGGTAGCATAAAAACGTTGTCTTATAAGGGATTTCATAATATTATTACATTGCGTCTATAATGAGACGATACTTTCATTAGTAAAATAAAAACTTAACAAGCGCGTCTTTTATCTTATTATGCGGTGTATTTTATTTACCACTTTTGTGTTATGTCTAATACCAGCAAATATACGTATTCTTTGCTGGAAAACATTTGCCAAAGCATTTTCAAAACGTGAACTTTTAACGTACGAAGCCATTTTCTATTTAATTTCAAAAGGAAGGTTTTTTTTTTCCAAACGTCACGAAAATTAGGGATGTTAACTATCGGTTTGGATCGCGAATCATATTGGACCAGATCGGCCATCACGTGGACAATTAAGTAATTGATTCAAAATTTGAGTCGATACGTGATTGGTCCATAGAAATAAATGAGGCTTTCGCCAATTGAACATAACTTGATAAGTGAAGGACACAACACATAGCCCGGAGCGAATCGAGGGACTAATTAGCAACCGATAAAAATTATAAACTTTACAATAAATAAATAAGACATTTTAAAAGGTATTCTGGAGTTGTTTTTTCTTTTAACATCAGTCGAATAATTAGCAAATATGTAAGTAAACCCATACATGGCTAAAATAAGATACATGCGTGACAAATTTGTAATATAATTCCAAATAATGAAAAGTATGTTTTTCTTTTGTTTGGGACACAAAGTATCTAAAAATAAAAGCATAAAAATATATATACATATAAAACAATAATGGAATATAGTACTATCATTTATAATCAAGTCCTTTTACCATTCTTTGCTGGATCAGCGAAAGAATCAGTAAAAGAGCATTTTAATTCCGAATTTTAGCTATTCAACAATTGTGTTATATCAAACATGGCAGAGATCAAAATAGAAATACAGCCATTCAATGGTTCGGTTGTGTATTAAGTTTAATTAAGAGTATTGAAATATTTTTTTTTATTTCGTAAATAAATTTTTACTATTAAATTATTAATTAGTTCAAAAGTATAAGACCGTTCTAAAAATCGATCTTAAAGATCGCCCCACCCACATAAATTTTTTCGTGCTTTTAGACCAGTTCACATTTTTTTCTCACCCGAATTTTTTTTTAAAATAAGTATTGTTATTATTGGTCAAAGTACTACATGAATACACATTGTGAAAAAAGAACTTGTATTCCATTTAAAGTATAGGTTATCATTCCTCTTTGGATAATTATAACTGTCAATGAACCTATTTCACAATTTTATCATAATCACGTGGAGGAAGAACCAATGAATGGCAGAAAGTCGCGTCAATTGCCTAATCTGGGGTTCCTTTTTTTTTGTTTTGAACTTTATTTTGTTTTATAAATCCTATGCATGGAGGAGGGTAAAATCATCCAGTTACACATTTAGTTCAAATTTAGATTAATAAATACCAAATTTTCATGACATGGCGCAAGAGTATTGTTTATTATTTATTCATCACATTACAATCACCTTCGTTTGGACTACATTAATATTTAATTGATTGCATTTTTTTTCGGATGGATTCATTTTTAATATTCTGCAGGTTGACAAAAATCAAATAGTATGATGGTGCGACCTTAATTCAGGACGCGAATTCTCAAAATAGTATAAAAAATATCGGACCGAAACCCGGTTTTTATACTTTTGTTGATCATCGGATTTTTTATAATCAAATTCGGAAATTCCTAGATGGTCACACACATAATCTGTAACCCTACTGTAAATAAATGGAATCATATACTTTTTTCGGTTAGGGTTGAAACATAATTATCTGGATTTTTGATCATCATCAAATGTTATTGAGAAGCCAATTAGTTGCGATAGATGTACTATTACATCTAAGGTAGAACAATAAAGAGAGAAATAACAGGTGTTTGGAAGGATCATATTAAAGTTGGATTAACCAGAACCACTAATCAGACATTGTTTTGCTCTTTGTATTCCAGGTTATGGGCGCACAAGAACATTCCTAACCGCAGTAATTTCGAAAGTTTTCCTCATGATTCAGGGGAAAGCCCTATCAAGTGAAGATCAAATGAAATGTAAGGTAATTCGTGTCAAGTTAATCGACTAGAATTCCCCCCAAAAAATTTTTTTTTTATTTTGGGTAAACAGTTCCCTCACATTTATGGACAAAAAAAAGTTCTCCGAATCGGTCCGTTCCCGCTAAACTTTAACAGGTTTGAAGATGGTCACACACTTCTTGCTTTTGCCCCTTTGGTTATAAACAGATTCTGCATAATTCTAAAAATCACTTTATTTAATTTTCCCATACAAATACTAATTTTCACATCCTTGTAGTCGGTATCAGGTCTCGAAATGTCACCTACATTATCTATATTACGAACTCACTGATAGAATGTTTTGCCAAATTCGAGATGCCTGGTCTTTTGTAACTTTTAATGTGAAAAGGTATCACATACATTTTTTTTTAAAAAAAAATATTATTATTGTTATGCATCATCCAAATATTCACTTTGTATAATGGGGTTTTATATGGGTTCTTTATCATAAATAAAGATAAGGAATTGGTCCAGATGTTGAAATCATAATGAAACCTCATGTTGCCAACAGGTTAATTCTAACTTTCTGGATCTTTTAAGGAAGCGATAGACGATCTAAAGTTCGATTCTTAACTTTTCAGTTCATGTTTAATTGGCAAAAAAAAAAAAAATATCTTTTTTTCGATATTTTTACCGCATAAATTATAACTTTATTCGGTTCAGAATTAAACCATTTTTAACAAATTTCCAATTTTATACAAATTCCAAGGACATCATATGGAATATATCGGAAGTATATCCATCACCGCATATTTGGGAAGGTGACTCCAAACAAAAAGGGCCCTCCCTTTTAGATCAAATTCTTTGTTTCGCTTTAAAGTTTTATGGTAATATAAACAGGTATTTGGTGTATCAACCTTTTTTTTTTGAGTTCATAAAAAAAGAGATGTGGGCTTTGAAATTTGTACGACATTTTGCATTTTTTGGTGAACATTCTTTCCCAAACAACCTGTACCAAATAAGGGGTTGATATCGGTGAGAATATTTTTATAATAATTTATTTGGTTAGTATAAACAAATTTTATTTTATTTGTCGTATAAAAAAAAAAATTTATTTCCTAAATGCATCGCACCAAAATTTAAAATATTATTTTCTTTGTACTTTGTCTTCAACCAAACAAAATTGTATTAACCAAGTTGTATATAAATTAGTTGTATAAGTTTATAAAATAACACTTTAATTATTTTTTCGGATAAGATTCCTGTTCCCTGGTTTGTCCACATTAAATTTTACCTTGAAATCAGCCATAAAATATAATATATACCTAATCCGAAAAAGTATTTTCTGTATATATAGGCGTCTTATTTTATCTCCCGTTACCACTATTTGTTTCCACCCCAAAAAAAAAAAAAAAAAAAAAAAAGAGAAAATTAATCAAAGATTAAATTTGAATAAATCTTTTTTTTTCTTCACGACCAAAGAAAGGTTTGAACCTTTTTTTTCATATTTTGATATTTGCTGTGTAAATTATTACACTCGCTCAAAAATTTGCTTCCTCGAGCCCGTTGGTCTCTTTCTTTTTAACCACTTATATATGATATTTACTACATATACTATTGGTTCTTTTTTTTGCTTGGATATTTAATAAACCGACTCTTTTATCTCGCGCTGTTTTATTTCTGAAACCCTCTTTTTTTTTCTTATTGATATCCTCTTTAAAATTCAAAAGCATTTATCTTTTTTCACAAGTTGAACAAAATGGACGATATTGTGTCCTATCAATTCACTAAAGTACGTCAGCGTAGAGATGAGCGACAAGAGATGTAAGTTACTTTAATAAATTTCCTTGGAGTGTCGGTAGTCATTTAAGACCTCAAATATAATTTCCATCCCTTCGCTTTACGATTTCACGTGGTGTTATGTGTTCTAAATTTTTATTAAGCATGTTATTCTGTCTGATGTTTAGACAATATGAACTCATTTTAAGGCAACAACCAAAACAATCGAGGATGTGTGGCATAGGTGAGAAAGGTAAGATATAAAACCTGGATTATTACCAAATTTGAATGGATTGGGATGATCACCATTAGATTTTGTTCTTTTGTCTCTCAATATGGTGAAAAAAATTAAATATCACACACCCAAAAAAATTATATATATATATATATAATAATAATAATAATGAAGTACTCGCCTTTTTAATTTTTAAATAATATACAGTAATTCCGAATTTTTTTAATTGATATAGTCTTTATTTAGTTTCTATTTAAGAGGGAGGAGAACATTTAATAAGTGGCCAATAATCACTTGTCCGACGACAATGCTATCTATAATTTAAAAAAAAATGTAATTTATATATGTTAATTCATTCAAACAGCTGATAGACGTCCAATTGATCCTCCACCAATAATACAACTCAAAGTTTATGATGCCAGCTTACCACAATCCGAGAAAAGGTAATAATCACATGATTTTCTCGTGATCATTCTGCGCCAAATCAAAAGTTTAACACTCCGTGATGTTTTAGTTCCTTTCTTCAGAATCCATATTTCTTCATGTATGCATCCCTGGTGGCACCTGATACTGATGAAGAGTTACATTTGTTAAGAGACGGAAAGACTCGTTCTACAACAGGTTCAGTCGTATCTTCTTTATATCATCTTAAAGATATCGATAATTCGGATGCCGGATTTTTCGTGTTTCCCGACCTTTCTGTGCGCATGGAAGGAACTTACCGACTTAAACTCAGTCTTTTCGAAATAATTGGGTATATATCTTTCTATAAAAAAAAAATTTTTTTTTTATTGTACCAATCTTAAATATCGTTAAAAGTTTTACAATTATTTCTTGTAATTTCACATTTTGAATTTTAACAGAAGAGAAGTTTATCATTGCAAATCAATTTTTTCTGATATCTTTATCGTGTATTCCGCAAAACGGTTTCCCGGAATGGAAGGTTAGTTTCATTTAATATTATTGTCCATTCTAGGTCATATAAAAACTCTAATTAATTCGTAAATTTGAATTTTAACTATCTAGAGTCCACATTTTTATCAAGATCTTTTGCTGATCAAGGTTTAAAAATCCGAATAAGGAAAGAAATCAGAATACGAAGGTTATTTGTGGGTTTATATGTGGCGATTTTTTGATCCTCGTATCAAGATTCTCACAGATAAAAATAAAATAAAATAAATTTTCATAAAAAAAAAAAAGATCTCTTTTTTTTTTATAAAAAAAAAAATTTGATTGATATACTGTTTGTACTAACATCTTTACTATTTTATCATTTTTCATTATTATTATTTTAAAAACTCTGTAACATCTATCTAGGCGGTTAGCGAAACGGGATAGGAAGGAATTAGAATTGATTGATCATTCTAGATTGAAACGTCCACGTCCTGATGGTAAAAGGGATGATGACAGTGGAGAATCATCTGACGCGGATTTACATACTCCAACTGCCGATGATACACGTTCAAAATTAAGTCCAGAGATAATACATTCAAGCTACGACAAACGTAAAGATCATAACAGCATAAGTCCATCATCTCCACGTCGAATGTACGAACATATGCCACCTCATATGCCACATTATGATCCTAACGCTCCACCAATGTACGGTCCAGGATATCCGCCACATCGACCTCATTCATGGCATGATCGTCCAGAATACATGACAGATCCTCATTACCCTCCTTATTATGATCCATATGATCGAAGATATGGATATCATCCATATTATTACCCACATCCTCCACCAATGCCTGATGGCTCTGAACATCATCGTTATCCATATCCAGCTTACGGTAGACCACCGATGTATCCCGGACAACCCGCACCCGGATATTATGATGCACCACCAAGAGTTGGTCATCCACCAAACGATTCTCCAGGAGCTGTCAGACCGTACGGATATGATCCATCGGGTACTTATCCGCCTCAACGTTGGCCGCATTATGGTGAACGTTCACAATCAAGGGATCCTAACTTGGAACCATCATCATCTCCATATCGTGGAAGTGCTCCTGTGACACCCCCGCCACCCCGTGGACATCCAATATATCCGTATTCAGATTATTATCCTTCATATCCACATCCTCCAATTCCTCCACTACCACCGAAGACAGCGGATTACGCTCCAGTTCCACCAATTGATACTTCTGGCGATCCTAACAACCCACAATCCAAAATACCAATTCAAAACTTATTGTCAAACGAGCAACAACAGAATCAACCATCACCACCACAACAGCAGCAGCAACAATCATCATCTCAATCATCCCAGCCAAATACCGAACACAGTGCTACTGCACCACCCGCGCCCCATCCATCAAGAATTTATGGTGGCCCTTCTGCATTTGCTCATATTTATCCTCATCCAGCTCGACCACATGAATATATGAGACATGATCTTTATGGCAGACCCCCATACGATGTAGGATATCCACCACGTGATGCCGCGGTATCGCCATATGGCACTCCTAGTAGTAATGCTGTCAACAAATCACAACCAGTATCACAACCATCACATTCTCAACAAGGTGATACCGCACGAACCTCTCTAATTTTGCCACCTACCTCTACATCAATGACTTCATCATCATCAGAACAGTCAAGACATAATATTGATTACAATAATACATACGAACGCCGTTCTGTATTTTCGGGTGAACCTTCAACATCTACCAGTAATCCGCCATCTACAAATCCTAGTTCAACGACGTCATCATCACAAACATCATCATCCTATTCAGGCATGCCAATTATCCCAACGGCAACTCGTACGACAGTAACCCTACCTTCGTTGGTTCCATTGAGCATAAACGATCGTAATGAACGTTTTGTGGCGAGTTCCAGTAGTGGCAACTCAATTCCTACATATCATTCAGCCACGTCCGCTTCTCCATTACATACTACGACTCCTAGTTCGCAGCAATTAAATTCCCCACAATCACAACCATCTCAGCCATCTTATGAACATCCATATTCTCATTCCACATCGAATTCACAAAATCGAGGGTCTTTTGGTATAACCTCTGGTTCAGATCACGGTAATGGAGGTAATAATAGTAGTAAGAACAATGGCGTAAAGCCCAGTTTGAGTAGTGGTAGTAATGAAAAAACTTCGCCACGGGCTGCGGGTTTTGAAGGTAATTACCCATTAAGACGACAAGGAGGTGATGCGGAAGGTGAGAGGAACGTTAATGAAAGTGGTGGTGTTGGTGGTGGAAAGTATTAAGATATAGTAAACGTGGCAATAAAATTACTCGTTGAGATTAGCGGTGGGCAAAGTTTTGTGGTTTTTTTTAAGGATACTGATGTGTGTGTAAACAAAGATGTTTAAGGTGTTGGCTTATTTGTAGATTTCGGAAATTATAAAAAACCTAATGGACTTCAAGTATATAAAACATTTCGCAGCAATGAACACCTAAAAATGAAATTTGAATTTATTTTGATCGTGGATTAAAATGCTCGGAAGACACTTTCTTTCGTAGTCATTTTTTACTATGTAAACAATTTAAGCATATATTCCTTGACAAAATATATGTATATATACATATATTACTTGTTCTTTTTTTGTCATTCTGTACAAACTTTCATCCTCAAAATTGTCTATATACAAATAGTAATTTATTTGGGTAAAAATAATATTTATCTTAATTAACATAACAGTAAAAACATTCATTTCGTGGGGGGATGAGATTTTCTTGTAAGTTTTTTTTTTTTTTTTTTTTTATTTATTCAACAACGATACCTTTTGTTTATAGTTGGTTTCTTTTGTATAAAAATCTTTTTTTTATTATTTTTTTTTTTTTTAAATTTTTCAAAGTTTTTCCTTTTCTTTTATTTAGTCTCCTAAAAGATTAATTATATATACAATATATTTGATTTGATTTTTTTTTTTTTTTTTAGATAATTTGTTTTTAAAATAAAAAATTTAAAATGTTCAAATTTTTTTTTTCTTTTTTTTTTTTGACGCGAAAAAAATCTCATTTTTATATTTTTTTTTTAATTAAAAACTTTCATTGCCATTTATTTTTCTTAACTTGGTTTAAAAATAGGGCTATCTTTAAGATGAATTGGAGGTTTTCCCTGAGGGGTCCCAGGAATAACTTTTTCTAAATTCTAAAAATTAAAGTGTTAAATAAAAAAGTGGGGGATTGTTTTTTAATAATTTATAAAGATACTTACCAACGCGTTAAACACACAAGAATTAAATGTCTTTTCTTGTGGTCTACATTGATAATATTCCTGATTATTTTTATCTAAACACTGCCAATGAGTTTCAAATTCTTTATCACAATTTTCACGTAACTTACGAAGCCTAAATGAAAATTATAAGAAACTTTTCAAAAAAAATATATATGTATGTGTGCAAGTTTATACATATATATACTTACAGCTCAATAGTGCACCTTGTAACTTTTCTACCTTCTTTTAAACAATGTTTTGGATCATTATTTTCATTTTTGCAAAGCATATAATCATCATTAAATTCTTTACAATAAGCACCAATAAAAAAAGCAGCAGATTTTAAAGGAGCAGAAGTTGTTCCAACGTCATCTACTCTTGGTATGTTTTCTGGTAAGGGAGTTTCATCTTTAAAAGGTACATTTGAAAGAAAAGGATGTTGATTTGTTGCTGCCATAAATAAATAATTAAAGAAATTGCAAAAAAAAAAAAAAAATCTGAATTTTATATTGATTCTTATCAATTAGTGTAACCGATCAACAATTAATAATAAATAATAATAATGATAAATTTAAAGTTTTCCTTCGTTTATTCGAAATAATTTCAAGATACTTTTGTAAGCTTTCACATCAAATAAATCCCATTTCTCTGAGTTTGTATATGAAGCAACTTCTAAATGAATATCAGAAATAATCTTATAAGTTTCATCATTAAATGAAACTCCATTATATTTCATTTCATCCAATAACCTTTCGATCCCCTTTATATCTTTCCAAAATTCCCATCGAATTAATAATATTTGATTATAAACTCTTGTAGAACAACCCAATACATAAGATAATAAACCCCTTCTTTTTGTTTGTTCAAATATTGATAAAGCTAAATGAGGATCTTTAAATTTAATATTACATAATAATATTGATTGATTTAATAACATTTCATATCTAAAGGGAAATGGTCTATTGAAATCATCAACTACGCGCTTTGATTTAATAGAATTCTCATGATCAACTCCAAAAATATTTTTGGAGATGATCTCTTGAAATCGTTTTTTCGTTTCACATTTTAATAATTCGTTTTTTATTTCTATGGCTTCTTTTTCCGGTTCATTAAATACATTTAATAATGATGTTGCTTTCATCGATTCATTTGGTACATCATCCTCTTGTTCAAACTGATTCCCTTGTTGTTCGCTCATCGGTTGTTGTTCTTCACCCCGCCTCATTAAATCATACAAATATTGTTCGATCGTTGATGACTTTGATTCGTCATTCATTTTGTCTAATCTCGTACCTTTCCAACGTTCATAATTATTACTATCAAGGAGCGTACGAAAGATTCTATGGAAAGCGCCCTCATTTTTTTCATAAGGGATAAATCTTTTTTGACTCTCTCGATAAATTTCCTCTCTTGATGACTGTCGTTTTCTAGGTGATGGTAAATGCCTATCATACCTAATATGATTATCATGCCTATCAAAAGTTGATTGATGACGTACTCGTTCTTTATCTTTATTCTCTTCTTCGATTACAGTCTCAAATAAGAACTTCCATTCATCAGGTGATGAAGCTTCGGATGATTTTGTTTCAACATTGTCCAGTTCAGATTGCCGACTTATTAAATCATCATCTTCATTCACGGTTTCTAATTGATGGGAATTCAAATTATCCGGTAAAACCTGCACTGTAGAATTACTTGTAATTCCTCTTGTTGTATGTGAAATTGTTCTCAATATATTCCCTAGAAAAATATTTCCTTTTTTTTTTTTTTATTGAAATTACCAATCAAATTGAGTATAATAATTAAATATGAAGTACCTGAATGTCGATTTCGAACTAACTGGAACATAATAATTATTTAGTGAAAGAAAAAAAAATGTATTATTTTTTAACGTGCCGTATTTGATCTAACCAATAAAAGTTGATTACCTAATGATATTATAGATCCGAAAGTAATATTCTTGTTATAATTTTTTATTGTTATTCTATAAAACATATACTAGTATTTAAAGATAAATTTAAAAATTTCAAAGTTAATTGCTTAGTTAAAATGATTACAAGTAGTAATATTAGAAGTGTTTTGAAAATGTATATAAAAAAAAAATTAAAAGGCAATAACATGTTCAAGTAAATTTAAAAAATAATTTCATATTATAAAAAAAAAAATTTAATATAAAAGGAGATATCAGAATTTTTCTCTTATATTAAATTATTAAAATTTTCAAAATTCTATATTAATTTAATATTAAAAATAATTGTTGAACTTACATTAAATTTTATAAAAAATTTTTCTATAAACATATGTAATTATACTAATTAATTACCATTTTTTTTTATAAAAAACATAATTATAAATTAATTACAGGGTAATAATTAATTATGAAATACATAATTAATTATGGAAAATATTAATTTTAGTAATATAAGGTCATTGCAATAAAAGGAGGAAAAGTGCCAGAAAAATAAAAAAATTAGTTAATGCTAAATTTGAACATATTTTAGCCTAAAAATTATATTTGGTATATAAAAGTAAATTTGATTTTTCCCAAAAGTTTTTTTCTTTTTATTGCAAAGGCCCCATATTATTATTATATAAAAAATATATTTTAGTATATTTTTTATCAACTTTATTACCAAAGATTTTAAATTTTTTAAAATAATTTAATTTTAAAATTAAGTTTCAAAAAATTAATTATAATAATTTTTTAAAATTCTTTAAAAATTTATATATTTACATATTAATTGAATCACTTTATCATTAATTAAAGTCATAAAATTTTCTTATTAATTATAAAAATTATAATAATAAAAGTTTTTCTTTATAAATAATTTTATAATATTCTATTATGATTAATATAGTTAAAAGTAATTCTAAAAAGTTTATTATAAATTAATCATGAAATTTTTAAAATAACTTTTTTTTAAAAATTACAAATTTTTAGCTTTAAGAAATATTAAATTTTTTATTATATAATTAAAAGATAAAACTTATTATAATATATTACATATTTATAAAATTAATTTAAAAAAAATATTAATTAATTATTTATAAAAGTAAATCAAAAAAGAATTTATAATAAATAAACAGGTAAATTTACCTGTAAAACTTTACGATTTAAAGGATAATTATCACTTTAGTCATAATAATTTTTTCAAAATATGTATTTATAAAAAGATTATAATAATAATATAAAGTATTATTTTATTAATTTAATCACAAATGGTTTTAATATAAATGTAATTTAAAAAGGTTTTTATATTAAATAATTATAGATAAAATAATTATAAATAAGTCTGATTTTAAGAATCAATATAATTATCAAATATTAACATAAAATACATATTTCTTAATATAAAAACAAAAGATAATTGAATATAAATTATATAATAGATAATTTTTATTTATATATCTAAATTATATAAAATATTTTTAATATTTAAGTATCTAATTATAATTCTATAACATTATTAATATTATAAGGAAGATCGGGGTATTATGATGAAATTAAGCTTACTGCTAATAAAACTTTTTATTAATCGATCATAAAATTACAAATTTTGAGGCTACTGATAGTATAACATATATAGAGCATACTGCAACAAAACCAGACAAAGTGAACATTGGTATTACAGGGTTCAGCATCACCATTGGATGTATTCACAAATTGATCAAGTTGGGTTGAAATGAAGGTTAAGGTTGTATTTGAGTTAAATTGTCCATTCATATTGATATAACTCAAATCAACAACCTGCATTCACAAAATAATTTTTTAATCAAGTTTGTAGATCCCTGTTTTGATTTTTACTATATATTTTCTTAAACTTCCCTGCTAATACTTATAACAATTATTAGTCACAAATTCGATTTCTAATTGCAGAAATTGGTAATTAACTTGATATTTTATTTGAAAAGAATACTGAATTTTGTTATTTTGTTAAGGATTGAATATTATCTAATTTTTAATATTATTTATTGAACATTGTTATTATGATATTATATATTAGGATAATTGGTTGAAAAATTTATTATATTATATTTTAATAATCAAGGATGATTTAATTGAAATCTTCATTATCTGCTATATATTAAAATTACTATAGATATAAAGATAGAGCTAAATGTAATAATCAATAAAAATGTAATTTCCATTAAATATCACCAATAGAGAATATTATCCTATAAAAAACACTATATTAAGCTTTCAATATCTTACACCCTGTTGAATTGCTAAAAGAAATATTTTTTTAGAGGTATATCAAACAAGATGAAACAAGATAACAAGAGCATAAGCATAATCACCTTTCATTTGTAATTCTAATTCTCTTCTGAGGAGTGTTAGAGCAATGTGTCAAATATGCTGTATCTTGCTTTGGAGAAGGAAGTGGTGGTGTTTGACTATCATCTGGTGGTAAATGTAGCAGATGTTGGAGAGATTCACAACCATTTTGCAACTCCTTCAGCTCTTTTTCTTCATCAAATTCTGTTGCATCATTTTGCTTCACAAGATCAATCATATTTCTTACAACCATCTATAAAAATAAAAAGATTCATTAAATAGTATTATTTTGTTAAATTACAAAAATTCTATCATAGAGTACATACTTTTGCTTTCCAGGCTAACATAATAACATGAATTGCTTTGAAGCCAAATTCATCAACTTTGGCAGGAATGCCAAACATTTTTGTTCGACTCACCCGGCAAATATATCCTTCTGGAGAATCCAATCTGAGCAATGCTACCATCAGATCTAGATTTTATCATATAAATATCATCTAGTTAGTTATTAAGCAACAACTAATGGTACGAAAATAATTGTTCAACATACTAGCATGTACAAATCCTATTGATTGTAGTCTTCTTATCTTTTCCTCTTTCATACCCATGGCTATGCAAAGATTATCAAAAATGTCTTTCATCATTTTTGGTGTTTTTTTACCTCTCTCTTTCAGAAGTTTGGTTCCATTCTCACCATCAAATATCTTTCCTACTTCAGAGCATGCATATTCAGTTGAGATATGACAGATAAGGAAATCAGCACGTCTTCCATAATCTTTCGCTTTATTGATACAATTGCAGAAAGTTTTCGATTCATATTTTTTCTTACTGATGAGGCAGTACTACATGACTCTCCTCTGTTATGAAAGGTCAAAAGGTCAATAATTTGAGGATGAAGTTTGTAATCATTCATTATAAAAAGTTAATGAGTGAAACTTTTCTTGCCTTACAGCTTCTACTCCATCAATGCTTTCAAAACATCTATCAATAAAACACCATATATGTATTAAATACCACAATTCTAAATGACCCTTTTCAAGGTTCTTAGCCTCATATTCTCTCAGCCTATAAAATAAAGACAGGATGCTTAAAGATAAATTCAAATACCCAATTTACCTTTTAATGTCAAACAACACTTACAGGTTATAGATAGAATTTCGGATCCAGTCAAAATCAAAGTGAGTATCACGATTGAAAGGCATATCCCAACTTTGAGTTTCAAGAACAAGTTTTCTAAGATCTTGAGTATTATACTTTTCAAAACATGAAAAAGGTTTAAAAAAATTATACAATGTAGTCAATTGAGTGGAAATATTATTATAAAAAAAACTTACTTTGCGAAAACTGTTTAAATATTTCAATAAATCTATTGGCATATCTGGGAGTTTCTTATATTTATATTCCTTGATTTCATTCAGTTCTTCCAAGGTGAATACATTCTCAACAATGTAGTTATGATCATTAGGATCAACAATGAATGAATGAGATAGACTTTGGTAAACCAGAAAATTTCTGATGTTAAATATTATAAACAAGCAAACATCATTTAAAATATAGTGAATACTTACTGTTCGTATTTACACTTCATCCAAAATTCATAGAGACCGTCTTCAACTATCTTTCCAGTAGTTAATTCCCATTTCTTATCATTATCCATTTTTTGGTATCTGTCTGTGAACTCATCATAGTCTGACATGCACATTTCTTCCACAACTTCTTCTTCATTAGCATTATTATCTTGTTCACCATGATCTTTCTCAACATTTTATTGATTAGATTTTTCAGCTATGGGTATATATTCCTAAATAAACATAACAAATTGTTCTACAGAAATTGAAACTCATTGATATTTAGTTAAAGGATCAATAAACTAGAAAACTATATTTACAAATCTTATGCTCAGATAATAGCTTATCACTTGTAATGAAATGTTGTTCAACTACATTAAATTCAACTTGTATGAATTATCGTTTCTGATTTTTCCAAAAAGAAAAAATGTAAATAATCATATCATCATTTTGAAGATGTAAATGATGCAATGTACTCACCTTTTTTTCATTTAATAACAATTGATCATTATGAGTTTTAACTCATTCATTTTGTAATCGGATATTTTCTCAAAAGCTTTTAACATTGTTGGAATTGATGTGTGCATCAAATTTGTCAAGTATGTAATGAGCTTTTGAGGCTTGTTTACCATTCTCAGCTACAATAATATTCAAAGCTTCAAATAAAATCTTTTCTGCCTGTTGTTTTTCTGAAAATGGAAAATTTATTTTTCCAAAAAACTTGACAAGGCCATGTTCTTTTGTTAAAACATCTTCCAATATTTCCGCATAATTTTGTACCTAATAATAGAATTGAGATATGTGATAAATTATTCCCAGCTTAGTAATATCAAATGTTTGGTTAATACAAACCATATTGAAAATATCTGTCAACTTTAAAACTTTGTGAATTCAAATACAGTTCAAAAAAAAAATATATATATATATCAAAAGTATTAGTATAAGACTTTTATATAGTAACATTTCTGCCTTTAACTTGGAACTTTTTCCTGAGAAATAAAGCCACCGCATCAGATCACAAGTAGTATGACAGCGGTTGTTTCGTAGCAACACCAGAAGACAAATATGTACTATCCATAATGGAAGGCATACCGCCGCTGGCCTTTACATGCCTCGGAAACACTGATTCAAAGAACCAGAACTTTTATTTGTCATTTGAAAGTCGCTATGAGCTATCCAGTTCAACACACAGAGGAAGAAGTCACGCTATTCCACAGGAAGATGAATCCCCTCAGGCTTTACAAGATCACTGAACACCAAGTTTACAAAACACACAAATTGAAACTATACTTAACTAGTAGGAAAAAAAACTAAAATGAATAAGCAATTGTTGAGTAATTGTTGATTGATATTGGAAACGATTAAAAAATGACTTTTAGAGTTCAGTTATACATATATCATATTAACATAACGGGCTTTTTTTATGATTGGATAATTTTATTACTATAACGATCATTACTAAATAAATTTTAATATGCATTATTATGTATTATCAAGATACATATAAACTAGGAGCTTTTTTATATAATTTAATAATAATAAAGTTTTACACTAATTACAGAAATGGTAAAAGTATCGTGGTTCCTTCCTTTATTTGTTGTTTACACCAATCATACAAACAACAAGCGGACGGACATCCGGACATTTTGAGTCAAACAGCATGGAATTATATAGTCCTTCGCTACGCTCCGGACAATAAACCCATTGGCAGTATTCCTATACATCTAATTCGTTAAAAGAAAAAAAAGTGTATCTCACGTTGAATTAAATATATTTTATTAATAAATAATATGTTTGTAAAATGCTGAAAACTTACATTGAATTTTGCGCTTCAGCATTATCCAATGCATTGTTAATAAGATGACTGTTCATTCAACACCACTTGTTATCGGGACACCCTACCTCTATCTATATTCATACCTTCCTCTTGGTCTAGTAAATTCCGGTAGTATATCGCAAGTATTCCTTACACTGTAGAACTACAAATTATTTTTCCAAAATTTAAAAGTTATATTAGTGTTTATAAACGTACCTTTCAACATGTTGATTCACTGATTTATTTATTTTATGGCTGAGTTGTTATAACAAAAAAAAAGTTAATAACAATAAAAAAAAAGCTTACACCCATTCTTTTGTTACAACTTAAATTGGAATTATCGATAAGTTTATCATTATCAATATTAATTCATTGAATTTAAATCTATGGAAGCACTTTCGATTATTTCGCTTGTAGAATCTTCATTTCCTTTTATCAATTCATCAACATTTTCTAAATCAATAATTCCCACATCCTCGTTATTAATAGCTTGATTATTTGATTCCTTAATATCAGTTGACTTGTTAGTATCTAATGCTAAATCTATTAATGATTTTACACTTAATGATTTTTGATTCAAAGTCGGTTTTATATACACCAACAATGCTTTCAATGATTTGTGCCCAGAAATATCCATAATTTGTTTTTCAGTTAGTCCATTCTGAAACAGCCATGTCAAATATGTACTACGTCCTGAATGATTAACTATTTTCCGATCTTGAACATCGGTCCCAGCATCAATGCATATAGTTTTTAAATACGATTTGATTTTCTCGCGTGATCAAGGTACCAATTATTTTTATAGCTTTAAATTAATAAATTAATAAATAAATTGTAGATTCTACAATTTATTTATTAATTTATTAATTTAAAGCTATAAAAATAATTGGTACCTTGATCAGGTTGGAACCGGTTTGGTGTAAATCGATTTAAATTCGGTTTAAACCGGTTGCAACATAAAACCGGGTCTATTTTTTTCAGATTCGAAAACCGGTTTTAATAAAATCGGTTTATTGCGAAAATTCGAATTTAATGAAACCGATTGAACCGGTTTAAAATCAAACCCTATAATATGATATTTATGTGCAACATTATTATATAATTTCGATAATGACTTTACGGTAAGGTTTAAATTATTTTTTTTTTAAAAAAAAAAATTATATATTATAAAAGAAATTAATTATTGATCCAATTTTTCGCGACATTTTTTTAAAAAATTTCTCCATTTATTTCTAAACAAATCCATAATTATAAAATTACTATAATCCATTATTTGAATAGCATATTGATAGTATAAAAAAAGTATATACTAGATAATAGACTTTATATTTTTTGTAAATTATTCTATGAGATAATTTATTAAAAATTTATTTTGATACTTACTATAAAAATATTTAATTTTATAATTTTTTATTTATAATATATTATTGAAATTAAATTCTATTAAATTTTAAATTTTCACTATACAAGTTAATTGTTATTATTATTTAAAGCAAAGTAAAGAAATATATAGGAGGTTTGCTAGGAAAATAGGATTCTGAGCATTTTTTATTAAAATTTTAATTTTTATTGCATTTTAATTTTTGATAATATTAGATTAAAATGCAATAAAAATTAAAATTTTAATAAAAATGCTCAGAGTCCCATTTTCCTAGCAAACCTTCCATATATTATACTTTAATATACTATAAAAATTTTCAATTATATGTTATTGTTAATAAATTCATATATTATTTATTATTTATTTTATTTGTAAATTATGTAAATATATATAATATATATTTTAAACTTACTATTCCTAATTCATAATTTTATCGAAGCATATCATCTGATTTTTATGAGAATAGTTTATATTAAAAATTTTTTTTATAATAAATTATTTTAAAATTATACTAATATTATACTATAAAAAATAAGCTATACCTTATAAGATTGCTATGAATTCTTTGAATTTTTTTTTTGAAGTCTAAAAGTTAAAATGAATTTTGTGAATTTTACAAAATTTTAATGAATTATGTTTACTAAAACTAAATTTATAAAGATTTGAAATTTTTTTTTTTTTAATAAATTGTAAGTATATTTTGATTTTATATTTATATTTTTTACTTTATAATCTAATTTAATTTTTAATTTTTATAGAAATAAAAAATTTAAGTAAGAATTGAAATATAATGACTTTTTTATGATTTCTTTCAAAAATCTATTAAAGTTTAATTCAATATGATGCTAAATAAAAGCAGTCTATTGCAGACTAAATTATAAAGTAAGATATTGAGAAACAATATTAAATAAAAGCTTGTATCAAATTCCAAACTACTATTCAACGATTTTGGAGTTAAACTAGGATGATTCCCATCAAGAATATTCTCTACTTCCTCTTTATATTGAACTTCAATTGGATTATTACCACTTTGTTTATTATGGTCCATATCATCCTACCAATAGTTAATATTTTAATAAAGTATTAAAGTATTAAATAAAAAGTAAAGTTACTACCTTATAATTTTTTTTAATATTTTTCCATTTAACTGAGCATTGTTCAGCAGAGTATTGGTAATTATTATTAAGAAATATAGCAGACGCGTCTTGCTAAAGTTTCGCTTTTGTATTACCATTACTACCTCGCTTTGTACTTAGTTGATTTACTTTAACTTTTCGTTCTATTAAAAATGAAAGTAACATTTTAATAGAATCTTCACTCTACTGAACCTTTTTTTTATTATTTTTATCTGGTTTAATAGAGGTCTCTTTTTCGTTAGAAGTTCCTTCCATTCTTTATTGTTAAACTGCAACAAAAGATAACAGTAAGATTAAAAAATTTTAAAAAAAAAGTGAAATTGAACATAATGCCAACCATGTCGATCTTAGAAGCATATTCGACGAGATAATGTAGTAATAATAATGCTTATTTTATCGACTGTTAGATAATTGGAAAGTCCACGGTAAAATCGTATTTTTTTTAACAATTTGACTGACATCTAAGCGGATATACTTTCACGTTAAGGGAATCTTATTCTAGTAAAAAGGTAGGAAAAGATTATACTACTTCATATTTTATTTATATTTCATTATGTACAGTATATTATTATATAAAAAAGAAGGTACCGGGATTTTAGAATTTGATGAAAAACTCGGTATTTATACCAAGAAGTTCATTAACGTTAAGTGGTACGAATTCAATAATCCAATCAGAATATTTTTAACAAATTTCTCCGAATCAATCTTATAAAAAAAAATAAATACTTTTTTGGACTGATTTAAATTTGTCACTAAATCAAACTCGCAAGGTATTGAAATACAAATTCATTTTCTTAATTGATAACTTTAACGCGGTGTCAACATATGGTTAGGTAATTATTATAACAGTAGTGATCGTGGTAGTAGAGTGCAACTATAATGTCATTAATCGTGATTTTACCTGAATTGGAAATTTAATAGTAAAATCCAATCCAATCCAATCAATTGGATCAACTCGATCTAATCCAAATCAGATTTTTAATTTGTGAATTTGAATTAGATTAAGACGTCGACTCAATCCAATCCAAATGAATTTGTGAACGCATCCATTGCCATTTAGCAGCAGTTATACAAACTTTTTTTCATGAATACTTAGTTCTAATCGTAGAAATGAGATAATTAAAATTATAAATGCTCAAATATATGTAGAAATCTTTAATGTAGATCAGAAAATTAATGATTATCAGCTTAACATTAATGATAATGTTAATGAACATACTGATAATATTTTAGTAGATAATGGTAAAATAAGAAATAAAACTTTTTGTTCCCTTTTAGTATTATTCAAAGTATTAATTCCTATTTGAAAAGCAGGAGAAAATCCTACAATAATTCCTGGAAATACTCTTTATATAAAACTTAGTGGTGATGGTAGAAATGTTGGGAAGAAATAAAATCATGTATTGATAATATTTTGTTTATTAAATAAAAGTGATAAAGTTCTTAAACCTAATCATCAATATAGGTATTTTTTTATTTAAATTATATGATGTTTTGTATTTTATTTTACATTTTAATAAAAACAGATTAATTATTTTTAGTATATGTCTTTACATTGGAAAAGAAAAAAATGAAATATTAGCTAAAGTTGGCAAAATATTTGCTTTACAATTAGCAAATTTAAAAAATAATGGAATTATTGATAATGATGGTATTCATTGGTTAATTAAATTTTTCTTTTCTGGAGATTGAAAATTCATATATATCATTATAGGTTTAAATGCGTCTAATTTAGAATATTTCTGTTTATTTTATGAATGTGATGCTAAATCTCATCATAATATGAATCTTTCTTGACCACCTACTAAAAATACTAAAGGTTTATTTATTTATATAATTTAAAATATTTTTTATTTTTTTAAATACATATAATTAATATATTAAATTTAATTATTATATTTAATTAGGCAAAAAAAAACCATCTTTATTTCCTGTAATTGACTTACTTAATTATATTTTTGATGAATTCCATATTTTATTATGAATATCTGATGCATTAATGGAATGTTTCTTTAAAGATTTATTTAAAAAAATGATTTTAAATAAAATTTTAAGGAGAAAATTGAGAAAAAAATGAATGATTAAATATTCATTTTGAATTTTATCATGTTAATTCTGGTAAAGGTAGAGTTCTGAATCAGGTTAGATTAACCTGTGACCCGATCTGACCTGATCTGAAAAATCCAGGTCAGATAGATAAGATTTCAGGTCAACATCAAATCGGATCAAGCTTATGACCCGACCTGATAAAATTCAGGTCAACCAATCAAATTAAACAAAATAAAATATTTAAAAAAAATTTTTTTTTGTCTATTTTTTTTTTAAAACATCTTTAATTTTATTTAATATACTTTCTTTTTATATTCTAATAAAGTTGTTTGTAAAAATTTTTGCAATTACATTATTCAACAATTTAATTTTAATTTTTTTTTATCTGTTCAATTAATTCAAAGAGATATTTGAGCAATTTAGTCAAAGAAAATTGACTTTTATCGTGTAAGTAAAGTTGCTCAGCAGGTTCGAAAATATGTGCATATAAATATTTATTATGATTGGATTAATAGTTATAAAGTTATGAATGTTTTTTGTAATTATATTATCTCACAAAATATTTTTATTTTTTTTTATTCATTTAGTGACTTCAAACATCAATTTAAGCATTTTGGTCAAAGGAAATCAACTTTGGTTGCATAAGTAAAGTTGTTTAGCATATTCGAAAATATATATATATAAATTTTATTATGATAGGATTAATAGTTGTAAAGTTATGAACATTTTTCGTAATTGTATTATCTACGAATTATTTTTTTTTATTTTTTATTCATATAGCGACTTCAAAGAAATATTTGAGCACTTTGGTCAAAGGAAATCAACTTTTTGCGCGTAAGTAAACTTGATTGACGGGTTCGAAAATATGTGAATATATTTTTTTATTATAATTGGATTAATGGTTGTAAAGTTATGCACGTTTTTCGTAATTGTATTATCTCACGAATTTTTTTATTTTTATTTTTTATCCGTACAGTGACTTCAAAGAGCAATTCAAGTATTTTGGTCAAAGGAAATCAACTTTGGTCGCGTAAGTAAAGTTGTTCAGCGGGTTCGAAAATATGTGCATATAAAATTTTATTATGATTGGATTAATGGTTATAAAGTTATGAACGTTTTTTGTAATTGTATTAGCAGTCACCAGATTTGCAGATTTATCGCAACTTGTAATTTTAAATTCTGCAGTTAAAATAATTATATTAGTATCTTTTTTTTTTGAAAAATCATCAAATGTAAAAATGTATCAATATTTTTTTTATATTTTTTTAAACAAAATTAATAATTATTTAGTTTTCTTTTTTAGACAAGTCAGGTCGGGTCAAATGTATATTTAATTCAGGTCAATTTATGTCAAACCTAATCTGACCTTATCAGGTCAAGTCAAGTTAATTATCTGAGCTGACCTAACCTGTTCAGAGCTCTAATAATAATAAATTTCTATATCTGGTAATAAATTTTATTAGGATAAAGTAAAAGACTATGTATTTTTATATATAAATTAATACATTTGTAACGCATTTATACATGCAGTGAAAAAAAATGGTTTTTAGTTTTATATAATTAATTCTACACGTGATTCATTTAAAAAATCACTCCTGCATAATTATTTTATTAATTGGACAATTGTAATAATTTATTAGTATTATGCATAAATTTTCAAATTTACAATTAAATATAAATATATAAAATTCATTTTATTAAATTATATATAATCATGTCTTTTAAAAAAAATATATATAAAAAATAATATATAACCTTCTTTTAAAATAAAAATAAAAATTAAAATACAATAAACTTTGACATCAATCAAAGTCTTCATTTGCATTCATTTTTCTTTTCTTTTCTTTTGATCATAACTATTATCAAAAGAATTTGTATTTTTTACATTTTGAAAGGTTTCTGGAAATAATTTATTATGAGTAAAAAAAATATCACGAATGTCTAATGCCAGAACACAGAAGATTCCCATGCACTAATAAGTTTGATCTAAATACCAAAATATTTTTAGGTTTCAATTTTACCTGTACTTTAAATTGTAGAAATATTAGATCTTCTCCCTCCCACTTCCCTAAAGGTACAAGCTAACAAAACCTATATTTTTATCATAGCGGTCTATATGATACCCACAAAGGGTATTAAAATTTATTAGACACATTTCAAATACCTTGAATGTTTTTTTTACCTACATTATAATAAAAAATAAGCATTAACAAGATACAGTTTATAAAAAATAATATTTTTTAAATAATTTATCTAATCTGAAAAACAAAGATTACTTAAATTATTAAATATAGATGGATAATAAAATAGCATTATATCTGAAATATAATCTGCCAATTCATTGACATCATATAGCATTTTATTAACACAACTATCAATTATTGAAATATATATATTAAAAATAACCCTATAAGAAATCGAAATAAGGAAATGATACGTTTTTTATAAGGTTTGTATACGTAATTGATGATTCCGTATCATAATTCCGTATGTTTTATAATGATTTATTTTTTT